CTTGCAGGCCTTTTCCTTCGGCACCTTGCCTTACGACATGCAAGCCTTGTACCACAAAGTAGCAAAGCAGCAGTGCGCAAGGCCCACAGTAGGTTCCTTGCACATGGGCTGCGTCAGCTTCAGTGGGATCTACCGAAATTTTTTTGGCCCAGGAAATAGTTGGACTGTTATTTGACCCCAAGTTTGGGTTTTCTCAAATTTTGGCCTCTTCATTTTCTTTGGTTGGGAGAGGATTTGGGCTAAAATTTGGGATATTTTTGGTTTGTCCTCATGGGTTGGAGATGGCCTTACCCCTCTTGACCGTAGTTTGGTGACCCACTTTGCCCTTTGTCATCAACTCTGAACAAAAGTTTGTTAACTATGATGACGTGGCAGGGGTATTTTTGTAATCTTATACACATGGATCATTATCCACCAATTAAGAGTGTGACGTGGCAAGTAGTGCCCACCTCCACATAGATAAGAATATAATTAAATATTATAATTATTAAAACTAATTTTAAAAACTAAGTTTAAAAAATAATTAGACCCCAACCGCCTCAATCCTCAACCTCCATCCACACACCCCCTTCCTCTCCTGCAAATAACCTTGGAAGAAACTGTTAGAAATGTGCCCTAAGAGCCAATACATTTGATGTAATCTCCTTAGAATATATTTCATATATGATATATAAAGGGCAAACTTATTTTGTTATCTTTTACATCATGTAAAGAAACAGATGCCCAGGGTATGCTAAATAAGAGATAAAGTAATCTAAAGAAGATTAAATTCGGGAGACCTTTAATCTCTAACTGTAGTATCTCAAAATGTTCCTAGTCATAAGGTTATCAAATAGGCATTGATAAACTGTCAAGATTAGCACATGGTTGTCCTGTGATGCGTTATTAATCTTTAATAGCTCTCAAGGGCATGCCACAAAAGATTTGTCTTAAGTTTTATTGGGATCTCTTAATTCATCATAGGGGTATGTGAATGTATAATAAGGAATCTCTACCTTCGATAAAGAAGGAGAATGTTTCAAGATGTGATTCAGCAAATCTTTGGCAAAAGTTTTTTTAGCTTGATTTAGAAAGTTGTTCTTAATCATGTTCTTTTGAATCACATGAAGTTATAAATCATATTAGGGGTTTGACATAATCAATCTGTACCTTAATAATATGATTTCAAACATTGTATAAGAGAAGGACCGTATTGCATTGCAATTCCAACTGAATGGGTTCTTTATCTATTTTGGTTAGCTTGGGTAGCCTTAATATATTGTCAGATGTCACTCTTGGCTCGTGGAAATCCTAGGATTGATTGTGATCGATCCATATAAAGGAAGAATTAAAAGGGGGTTTTAATTCTAGTTGATTAGAAAGACTTCTAATGTTTTCCCACTGCCTCACTAATTATAACCTAATGGATCGCACACCTTAAATAGTTAACTTTGAGTAATACAAATGAGAATGAGGAAATCAATTTGATTGATTTGATGTAGATGATTTACTACAGGTAAAAACATATTTGGGCCTCGGTAATAGTTAACAGGAAGCCCAAATGGTTGAGTATCAAGCCCAAGGGTTTAAGACACCTAAATATTATGATTTAAGTGTCACAAGGCCCAATTTTGGAAGCCCAATGGGGTTTGGCCAAAAATGCATAAGTAAATGTGTATGGGAATTGTTTCCATGAGCTCATTAACACACAAACACAATCCAACATCAACCAAATAAGTTTGGGAGATAAAATAGAGATGAAAGGGAGTTTTCAAGAGTGAAACGCTTTCATCTTTCAAAGGGTTTAGATTGAAACCAATCTTGAGAATCTTGCACTAGCACCCTTGTATTCTCAAGATACTTCCTCTCATCTCAAGGTTCCATTGGTGTAGAGACTTAGAGGCCATATACTTTTGTGGCTCACATGGAAGAGAAAGATCAAGGAGCAAAGATCAAGATCAAAAAGGAGGTCAACAAAGAGGAATTCATCAAGAGAAGACCAAACACAAATTGGTTCATATAATTGCTTCAAGAGTAATTAGATCTGATCATTTCTCTTGAATTTTCCATTAATGAAATACATATCAATGTTCATGGCTTAAGATACTTGGAAGAAGTTTGTTTTTGAATTTAAACAACCACCATAGACTTCCGCTGCGCTTAATTTGATTAAATGCATGTTTAATATTCAAATGAACTTCGTAAAAATGTTTTAAATCCTACAACAACAACAGAAAAACAAAAACAAAAAGCCATGCCACCCTCATCTCAACCTCCCCAACCACCGTCCCTCCTCCTCCTTTGACCAGCCACAACAACAGCCACCCCCACCCCCTGCTCAACCCCAGCCCCCCCCACCACACCACCCCTTCCTCAACATCTACTGAACAGACCCCAAACCAACTCGAAATAAATGAATAAATTGAATTGATACAATAATTATAATAAACAGATAATTGAAAATCGAAAAAACCCCAATTATGTACTCTACATAATCAACACCGTAGCAAAAACCCCAACGGCCATAGATTCGGCAGTGGAGAAACTATTCAAATGGCACTGTTATTGGCAGGTGCGACATCCCGTCCCTATAATCACTGTTCAATTGATTATTTATTATGAAATTACATTTTTGCCCTTGGATGTAGGGCACTTTGGTCATTTTTTGTTCGGAAAGGAATTTGGTGAATTAAGTGGCGACGTAGAGTAGAGATCGACAATACGAGTTCGTAGATAGGCGGCATGTTCAATTCGGAGTTTAAACGAAGAAGTTATGATATACGGAAATGCAGTGGCACAACCGTAATTTTTGCGAACTTAAAATTTAAATATCCCAATCTCTCTCTCTCTCTCTCTCTCTCTCTCTCTCTCTCTCTCTCTCTCTCTCCCCCCCCCCCCCTTCCCCCACCCCACCCCCCCCCTTCCCTGTGTTTTCTCATTCGTCCGGCCACGGCCGGTGGCGCCACGACCTATTAAATGTTCTTCTCTTCTTCCTCTTCACGTTCATACCCATTTCCACCTTCGAAACTCCAAGATTGATCGCGACTTTGGACTAGAACCGAGCGAAACCCTAGTTCATCACCCTGCAGAGTTCGTGCGATTTTCGGCTATTCCAACAGCCAAATTCATCGAGTGAGGTATGAAACTTCATCCCCTCATCATGCTCTACTTGTTTATGTACTTAGTTTGGATCGATTTTGAGGTTTTACAAATCAATTCTTAAACCCATTTTTGGTTGTGGTCCAAAAACAAAAGTTGATCCCCTTGTTAGTTTGAACGTATTAGTATAGGTGTTTGTAGGGAGTTTCGAGAAATTCTCATTGTAGGAAATTTCTCAAAACACCCACGCGCTGCCAGCACCGGGTGACGGGGTGTGGACCACTGTGTGGCGCCCTATTGAGTTCTAAATTGTTTCCCTTGCCGTCCTGAGCACGATGGTGTGTTCGAATTTGGATTTGGTTATCATTTGACAGTCGAACGGATTTGCACCTATTTTGGTTGGGAGGTGTTTGTGGTTTGGTTGTTTGATTTTAAAACGGTATTTTCCTATGAGAGTTTTATTAATTGTTTATGAATTTTTGTTATATCGCTTTTACTTTGTCAGCATGATATATCCATGTTTATTTTTATATATGTGCTAAACTGGATTGTGTTGTTTTCAGATATATGGTTGCCTTTGGAGATATTGATGTCTTCTTCTGACATCCCGGTTGCCTTCTGAAATATTGATGTCTTCAGACATCCTGCTTGCCATCGGAAATACTGTTGCCTTCGGAAATATTGATGTCTTCGGATATCCTGAATGCCTTCTAAAATATTGATGTCTTCGGACATACAGTTACCTACGGAATGTCTTCGGACATACAGTTGCCTTTGGAATGTCTTCCAACATATGGTTGTCTTAGGATTATCTTCGGACACCTCAGTTACCTTCGAGTATGTCTACACACGTATGACAGTGCGCCCACGAGTTTCGAGGACTCCCGAACCGTGTAGTGCAAGGATTTGCATTCTCAGGTGGAGTATATCTCCTTGAGTTATGCGAGGAATGCAGTCTCTGGCCGACCTCGTTTCCCCCAAGTTCTGCAAGGATGTATCACACACGTGGCCACATGCGTGGTGCGAATTGACGAATTATTTGCGTTCTCAGGTTGAGTATATCTCCCTGAGTCATGCGAGGGGAATTGACGATCCATTATTGGAATTGATGGATTATGTTTGAGGTACAGTTAAAATGATATTCTTCACCACCCTCCCTGCTCACATTATCTGCACAGGGTTGGCCAAGGTATGAGCAGGGAGGGTGGTTAGATGTACAGTGATAAACTAATTGAACAGTTAGTACATAATTACATGGAATGACATTCAGTTATAGAGTCCCCCATTGTGAGAAAGATACCTTTAGAGCCCGTAATATTTCATCAGAGCTCTAAATGGGGCTCTATCCACCATATATAGAGCCTCAACCAAGATGGCCTTAGATAACCTGATAAGATAAACAACGCCATCCACCATACGAAGTGGTGGCCTTAGATGAGGTTTGTAAATTAAATCACCATCTTTTTCAATCCACAACGTAAAGAAAGAGTTGAAGGCATATAGAAACAAACAACGCCGTCCAAATGACAAAATGCATCACACTCAAACAGGGACAGTGGGACTTTTTTGGTAGGTGCTTTCAGGAAAAATGGTTAAAAAGAGGTCAAGTGGGGATGGGGATGGGGCTCTGAACTTTATGTATTTTTATTTTTGTGTCTCCTTGAGAGCTGGCTCCCCTCATGACAGTAGCAGAAAAATTCTCCACCACTTCGTATTTTAGCTGCATCTAGGCTTCCCAAGAGATAGAAGAGAAGTTCACCTGGGGCCCTGCCGGCCCTTATACCCAAGCAAGTTCAAGTCTTCCTCCCTTTATTTATTATTATTATTTTTTTAAGAAAAGAGATATATATTATTACTGTCTATTTTGCCACATGGTAGAAAAGTCCCCACCTAAGTTTTTCTCTTTCGTGTTTATCTCCTAGCATGTAGGATATATATCAGAAGTGAAAAAATATGCTCATGTCCTCTAAACAATTGTGCCAAAAATTAACCGCTGGAAGAAGAAAGAGAGAGATGGATTTCTTGAGTTGTGTACTATTATGTCTTATGGTTGCCTGGATCATAATCCAAGCCCTCCAATATTCATTTGCAAGAAGAATTCCCACAAACCTTCCACCTGGACCAAAGCCATTTCCTTTGATTGGAAATCTCCTAGAGCTTGGAAACAAACCCCACATCTCTCTAACCAAGCTTTCAAAACGCTATGGCCCCATTATGACTCTACAACTCGGCCAAATAACAACAGTTGTAGTTTCTTCATCCATCGTCGCCAAACAAGTCCTCCAAACCTATGACCGATTCTTTTGCAACCGAACGAACGCAGATGCACTCCAAGCCTGCAGCCATGCCAAGCACGGCATGCCCTTCATACCCGTTTCAGCTAAATGGAGAAACCTTCGCAGAATATGCAACTCCCAATTGTTCGCCACCAAAGTTCTCAACGCCAACCAAGCCAACCGTCACCTAAAAGTGCAAGAGCTCATAGCTGATGTCAGCGAAAGCGTGGTTAAAGGTAAGGCAGTTGAAGTTGGAAGGGCTGCTTTCATAACTACCCTCAATTTGCTGTCACGTACTGTCTTCTCTGTGGATCTAGCAGACCCGAAAAGTGAGACGGCTAGAGAGTTCAAGGAGTTGGTGTGGGGTATCATGGAAGAGGTCGGGAAACCAAACTTGGCTGACTATTTTCCTGTGCTTAAGAAGATTGATCCCATGGGGATACGGCGCCGTTTGACCAAGCACTTCCGGAAGATGATTGACCTCTTTGACAGCTTGATCTTCCAAAGGTTGGAAACAAGAAAATCACATGATTATGTCACAGCCAATGATATGTTGGATACTCTTATAAACATGAGTGAAGAGAAAAATGAGGATATGGACATTCCTGAAACTCATCATCTGTTTCTGGTTAGTTATGGAAGTAGCTTTCCTACACTTACTAATTGCTAATTAGAGTGTATCTTTTTGTGATTATTAAGGTTGTTTTTGTTTTTGTTTATACCATCTAAACTGACTTAAAGACCGAATTTACTACGTAGACAGTTGAGATGGTGTACGTAGTTTTATTAGTTCATTATTATACATATATGCTAGCTCCGATTAATTTTCTGACTAAGTAATCAACCATTTGGTGAATAATATAGGATTTATTTGTTGCGGCCACAGAAACAACTTCAGCCACATTGGAATGGGCAATGGCTGAGCTACTATGCAACCCGGAAAAACTGTCAAAAGCTCAAGAGGAGCTAGAACAAGTCATTGGGAAAGGGAAACCAGTTGAGGAAACAGACATTGCTCAACTTCCTTACTTACAAGCAATAATCAAAGAGACCTTTCGGCTGCACCCAGCTCTTCCATTTCTTCTCCCCCGCAAAGCCGAAGCAGACCTGGAAATCTGCGGGTATTTTGTACCCAAGGGTGCACAAGTGTTGGTCAATGCATGGGCCATAGGCAGAGACCCTGGCATTTGGGACAACCCGGCCTCATTTATCCCAGAGAGGTTCCTGGGATTGGATATGGATGTCACTGGCGGAAGCTTTGAGCTTATCCCGTTTGGTGGTGGGAGGAGAATATGTCCTGGCTTGCCCTTGGCAATGAGAATGTTGAACTTGATGTTGGGTTCACTTCTTAACTCGTTCGATAATTGGAAGCTTGAAGATGGAGTTGTACCGGAAAACATGAACATGGAAGAGAAGTTTGGCATCACTTTGCAGATGGCTCAACCTCTGAGAGCTGCTGCCATGGCCGTGCCATAAAATATCCTCCTAGCTATTTGTTTTTACCTAAGTTCATATGTTGTGAAATTGAATAAAAACTATAGTAAATTTGTCTTACACCCTTCAAATTCAATTTGCCGTACCTAAAACCCTTCACTTTTTGTTCCTATAAATAATACCCAATTTGTATAAGTAAAAACCCATGACTATGATATAACTCAGCAAGTTACCTAATTAAGCATAAAATCTGATTTATTGTACTTTTCCGATTCCAAAAATACCCCCAACTAAGCCATTATTGCATTTTGTATATTAATGTAGGAATCAATATGGAAATAGTTTTTAATTGGATTGTATATAATGACAGATGTTGAATTTGGAAAGATCTCCAAATGGTTGTAATGGATGTAAGAATTAATTTTGAAACAATTTTTAAAAAAATTAACAATAAATTCAAATTTGGGTAATCGGTTTGTTTAATAAAATGTTTATGTTATTTTCTTTTTATGAATTATAAATGACTAATAATCCACTTTATAATTGTTTATGAATAAAACTGTACATACTGATTATGTTGAAAAAATAATGTACCTATTACTTGTTTGTTTTATGAAAAATATAATTTACCTAGTATGAAAAGTGTACATAATTATCTATTCCAATATACCTACATTATACGACATCCAATATACCTACATTAATTTTAATGTACTTACAATTAGGATTTAGGTATTATATGTCATCCAATGTACCTACCATTTGAATAATATACCTACTACGAATAAAGTACCTATTATTTATCTAATTAATGTACCTATTTTTTCTATAAATAGTATAGCCTTTTTTCTCTAAATAAAGTACCTCTTATTTGTGTTATTAAAAGCAATTTTTTTAAATGAACCTATTTTCTCTCTCCAAATAACGTACCTATTTTTTCCTCTAATAATGTACCTATTTTTCCTCTCCAAATAATGTACGTATACACATTTACAGGTATATTGTAAAATAATTTACCTGTTGGTAAATAATGTACCTATATTTTATATAAATTATTGTGTACCTATTTTTAATTATGAAAAATATACGCAATTACAAAATAACTGACTTTGTTTTTTGTTTTTTGTTTTGGTAAATAATATACCTATATTTTATATATATATATTTATATTATATTTTTCATAGGTACATTATTGGATATGTAATTTACAGATTTTTTTTTTGTTTGCAATTTTAGTGGGCGAGATGTGAGAGGGAATGACAACTAAAAGAAATGGGGTGATTGATATGCTATTAATAGGGAGTATATTAATTACAATTATGGCAGTTAATGAAATGCTTGAAATAAAATTATAAATAAAATATGAAGTTTAGTGGCAACGATGTAAAAACATAGAAATACTACGACCTCTTATATCCTACTGGTCATTTAAATTTGAAATTGGGTTTTACACATAGATTTATAGAGTGATGGGTATATGTCTAGGAAATAGAAAATGTATGGGTCTATATTGGACAAGCTCTAAAAACTATTCATGCCATGGATACTCTCACAAGTTCCTCCAAATAGGTTGTGTCCATTTTTCTTGCCATGGAATAAAAATTGCATATATAATTGACTTTCAGTCGTTGTCCATTTTTTCTTCTGCTCATCTGGAATAGATTTTGTTTACCTCAACGTTGTTTAACTTGTAGTTTCAGGTTTTCTTTATCGTGTAGAGCATTCATTTATTATAATACATTACAAAACCCAATCTGATTTTAAACAATAAATTTATTGCCAATAATGAACCATTTGTTTGAAAGAATAAAGTTATTGGCAATAATTAATAGTTTTAGGTGGGTCGAGATGACATATGGGAGAAAGAAAATAATGGAAGCAAACAACAGACTAAGATCCATTTGTTAATCAAAGAGTTTTTGCTGTTCACAGTCGCTTAAGGCAACTGAGAAATCAAACTCTCTTTATTTGAAGAACTTCATCAAATCTTTTGCTTTCGTACCAACCGGAGATTATAACAGTGAAACCTTTCCAACCATAAAGTCAAGCGAAGAACAATTCCAACCATTGCATTTCTTGCTAAAATATGAAACTTAATATGAGAATATTTGTTTGTGAGAATTTTTTGTGTATTCTTTGCCTTGTTGGAGGTCATATTTATAATACAACGGAACTTTAATAGGCAAGTAAATAATAAATTCATATTTCTATTTATAGTAGGAAATCGTGAATTAAAGTAAATCAATTACAATTATACTAAGAAGTCTTAGTGTGAAAGGAAAGTAAGTCAGTGGTCCACAAGTCACACAAACACTCCCCCTCAAGTTGGTGCATAGATGTCGTCAATGCCCAACTGATTCAGTGAATTGTGGAATGCTTTACTGGAATCAACTTTGTCAAAATATCTGCCAATTGATCCTCTGACTTTATGAAAGGAGACTGAATCACTTTAGCATCGAGTTTTTGTTTGATATAGTGTTGATCTACCTCAACATGTTTGGTGCGATCATGTTGGATTCTGTGCAATAGTTATTGCAACCTTGTTGTCACAAAAGAGATTCATTATAGATGTAGGTCTATATACCCAAATTCAATAAGCAACCTCTTTAACCAAATGGCAAATTCATTTGGTCATACCTTTGAACTTGGCTTCTGCACTAGATAAGGCCACCACCTTCTTTTCTTGCTCCTCTATGTAACCAAATTACCTCCCACGAATGTGAAGTAACCGGATGTGGATTTTCTATCTGTTATACTTCCTGCTCAATCTACATCTGTGTAACCATCAATATTTAGAAGACCATGTTTTGAGAACATAAGTCCTTTTCCAGGTGCAGACTTCAAATATCTAAATATCCGAATAACTGTATTCATGTGGTCTTCACTCGGAGAATGCATAATGTGAGAATCCATATTCTTAAAAGTTTTTAAAGAAGATTAAATGTTTTTAAATATATATATGTACTGTTTTACGTTTACAATGCTATTTTAATAATTATTTGTATTAATAAATATATATATACATTTGAATAACTATAAATTATATTATTTGTTTTTCTCTAAATCCTTAGATATTTCTTGTGTATTAAAAAGCTAAAGAAAATCTGTTTTTATCTTTATGAGCAAGTTAACTTTGGACAAAAGGATTGACTTGGTAATTTTTATTATATATATATATATACACACACATATGAGTTTAATCATCTTAAGGTGGAGTGGACGTGTGGATTAGGCACATGCATATTTCATTCTTGTCACCAATATATGTGTCATTGTTTTAAAGCTTAGAGCTTGTGTGTGTTTGACAGCTCGTGTTAGCAGTTAGATTTTATCTTCCTATATTCGTATTTATCCTTATTCATTAAGCTTATCTATATCTATTCTTACTCACTACTACAAAAAGTGAAAAAGACGACCAGAAAAACACGACGGTCTAAGTGAAAACCGTCGTTGTTTTTTAAAAGACGACGGTTTTATAAAACCGCCGTGAAATAACACATTAGACAACTAAAAAATGGAGTTTCAAATGGCTGTTCATAAAACACGACGTACTTAATTTAAAAACCGACGTCTTATTGAAATAGGATTTTCAAGAGGTAAAATCGAAGCCAACAAATAACGGCGGAAGTTATGAACCGACCGACGTAGAAAGTAAAGACGACGGTTTCAAAAAAAGCCGTCGTTTTTACCCGGAAATTAACACGACCAAGTTTTCGTATAAGGCGCCGTATAATTACAAATAAATCCACGGCGGTAAAATACAAAATTCCGCCGTATTAAATTAATGTACAACTAAGGCAAAGGTAAATATAACGACGTCTTTCTCGTATTTCTACGACGACATCTTTAATTCTTACCAAGTTGGGGTTTTCATATAACGACGTATTATATAATTTAACGTCGTATTTGTCCACTTTATACGTCATACATTATATTTAAACCGTCGTCTGAATAAGAATTGTTTTTAACAATTTATTTCTTGGATTTTGTTATCCTACGTCGGTAGATCTACTTAACGACAAGAATTGAAATAACCACGACGGTTTATATAGAAAACCGCCGACATAATCAGATTATTCTGAGATCACAAGGGTTAGGAAATCTTACAAGATGGAACTCTGTTGCTCATCATCATCTTACCAGAAGACAATATTTTAGAGGTTAATGATGTATGTGTATTTGTGTCTTTGAGATACACAAACGCACATACACATTAACATCCAAAAAATTGCATCTGAAATTTGACGACGGCAGCCTCAGATTTGCAATCAGAGAGACAATTTTTTGGAAGTGAACATTCACATCCAAACAATTGCCTCCTAAAACTTCACGACGGCAGCCACAGATTTGCAATCAGCGAGACAATTTATTGAAAATTGGTGATTTGCAATCAGA